GGGAAGAGGGAGAGAGAAGTAGCGATGGTGGATGGCGGAAGGCGGGAGAGAGGCCGCGCACAGCGCACTGCGCAGCGCACAGTGCAGGTGCGCCGCAAGTATGGTATTCACAGTAGAAACAAACTGGTGCTTTCTTGCCGCAGCTGACTCACCTGGTGCATTGAGGGCATAGTCTTGCACAAGAGGATGAGTTGCATCTTGGCGTCCAACACGAAGGAAATCAACACCCTGTTGTCAAGTGGACATGAGGATAAAGGAAGAGAGGTGCAGGAAGGTGACGTCAATCAGGGTAGGTCGGTAGGTGCAAGGATAAGGATAGGTAGGTAGGCAGGTAGGTAGGGAGAAAGCAAAGGGGAATGGCAGGAGTGAGGAAGGGAGGGCGGGATTGAGTGAGTGAGTGGAGGGAGGGAGGGACAGAGGGAGGATGGCAGGGAGGGAAGAGAGGTAGTAGGAGAGTAAAGGAAGAAAGGTGCAGGCAGGAGATGTTGTCAGGGTAGATAGGTAGGTACAGGGATCAGGATACGCAGGCAGGTAGGGAGGGAGGAAGGCAGGGGGGAGGGAGGGAGTGAGGAAACGAGGGAGGGGAGGCAGGGACAGATGTGAACATTGGCACCAGAAAACAATAGAAGTCCTCCGTCAGTTAGAGGGATGGGCTGCAACTAAGTCGAATCAAATGCATAGGTTCTCAGAAACTGTGGACTCCAAGATAAGTGAAGCAGCAAACATGCAAAGGAATTCCAACAAATATGGTAGAGATCCCTAGGGCATACTCATACCACGATCATCTCCACAAATAGAAAGCAGGGCTGTCATAGCTAGGTGTATCTTGCCCAAAATTGCCCTGAAACGACATCAATCTTGCACTAAGTTTAGACCAATGGTGATGATAGGGGTCCTCATGAGTTTGTCTCGCCTCTACGGCAAACAGACGCATTCAGTGCAGTCTCGTTTACAGTAAGATGGAACGCCTGACATCAAGCTATTTTCACCACCCTTCAGCACTGATTAATATGACTGGTATCTTCCACGGGTTCCTTGGCCCACAGGAGGGAGAGAGAGAGAGAGAGAGAGAGAGAGAGAGAGAGAGAGAGAGAGAGAGAGAGAGAGAGAGAGAGAGAG